GACTCTTCCAGAAGCAAAAGCCGATATTTATTGAGCATGGCCTGGGTACGTTTGAGCAGCTGCGTAGAGACAGTCTCAAATTCTTCATCCACTGGAAGAAGAAAAGCCACACGGGGGTTGGGGGGTGGGGTTGGTGGGGAATGGGGTGGAGGTGACACAGGGCACTTGTGGCCAACGGTGGGCAAGCACGCAATGCTCAACCCATTCCGTGCTCTGTGGCCTGAATACTGAGGGCTGGTGGATGAGCTGAGGATACTTGGGGACACAGGGGGAGATCAGCGGGGAGCCTCACCTTTATGGTAGTCGCTGGGGGAGGGGAGGGCGCCTTGGTAGACATGGTAGGGCAGGAGTCGATGGAGAGCGTCCTCGAAGGAGGGGAAGGCTGTCTTGTAATCGGGGTGCAGGACAGAGCCCTGATGTTTGTGCAGATGCTCCAGGAAGCTGTGGGTGGGGTTAGACCACACATACAGAGCTGGGGGTGAGGACCAGGGAAACTGATCCTGGACCTCAGCCCGAGCGCGCCAACCTGGCTCCCTGCAGTCCACTTATCTCATGGCTTCCCCGGCTATGGACCGAAGTTAACAGATAACTGAAGGGGAAAGAGAAGCCTGGGAGAGTGAGGGGACATCGCTTCTGCTTAGAGGATCCAATGGAGAGAGGGAGGGGTTGGGAGTGGGGTGGGAACCTTAAGGTCCATGCTAGTCTGCCTCCTGCCACCAGGGGGCAGGACCTCTCCGCAGCTAGGGTTGCTCAGGAGAGGGTTACATTTTAAGAGCCTGCTCATTTTCTTGTGGTTTTCTTCAGAATCTCTACTACAGTAGGTTCGGTTTCCCTATCACACGACCACGTTCCCATTAGACAAGCCTAGAAGGCCAGCCCTCTGGCACCACGGGGCAGAGTTCCTGATATTGTTTATTTGCTGTGGTCTTGGAACCAGTGAGTGTTTATAAACACCATTTATTCCTCCAAAACAGCTCAAAGGCCGGCCCTCACCCAACAGGCAGCCATGTCGCCACGTATTCAATGAACCGAGGTCCTTAAAACTTCCTTACTCATCTTCCCTGGCCTGCAAACTTGTGTGTACTTAACTCACAGGCCTGCCTGGACACCCCTGGAACCTATTCACGCATTCACTTTCTAACTGGCTCTTCCCCACCACACCTGAAGAGCTAAAGAAACAGTGCCCGGATGGAACTGTAGATGGAGTCCAGGGGCTTGAAGTCAGCAGCCTGCCAATGTCCCACTGACCCCACTTCTATCTAGCCCTTGGCAGAAGGGAAACTGAGGTCAAGAGGGAATCTGCACACAACTATAGACAGTCAGAGCAGTGGGGGTGGGGCAGACCTGGAGGCAGGTAGCTGTGTCTTACCAGGCTTCTTTGCTGGGTTGCAGTAGGGGCTGTTTCTTCAGGCTACACAACTTGCTGTCATACTGTGGAAAGAGGTAAGATGAGTGACAGGTGTTGTTAGGAAGAAGCCTTCTCTGCCTCCTCAGCCTACATCCTCCCTCGAGCCAACGACAGGCGGTAAGGGAAGTTGGTCCCAGTTACAGCATCCTTGTCCATCAAGAGAAACCTGGTGAGAATGCCAGGTGTGGTATCTATGCCTGCATCCTGCTTAGCCTTAACTGTCAACTTCACATTGCCTAGAGTCACCCAAGAGGAGAAGCCTTAACTGATGCCTGGCCTCTTAGGGATTATCTAGATTAATTGAGGGCCCAGCTTTTTGTGGGTGGCTTTACCATTCCTAGACAAGGTGGTCCTAGGCTCTGTAAGAAAGAGCCCGTGAATGAGCAAGCCGCAGTGCTCCTCCATGATCTCGGCTGCAGTTCCTGCCCTGGCTTCCCTCAGTGACACACTGGAAGTGTAAACTAAACAATCCCTTTCCTCCCCTAAGCTTTTATAGGTTACAATCTTTTGTTATTGTTGGGACAGGGCTCCTCTGTGTAACCTTGGAACTCCACTCTGTAGAGTAGTCTGGCCTCAAACTCAGAGATTCACCTGCCTCTGCCTCCCAAGTGTTGGCTGGGGTTAAAGGTGTACACCACCAACCAGCTGGCTACAGTCTTATCATAGCAACAGATAGCAAACAGGACAGCCTGTAAACCCAGCACTTGGGAGGCACAGGTGGGAGTTCAAGGACAGCCTCAGATACAGAGATACCCTCACCACCCCACCCCACCTCAACAACCAAGGAGGGAAGAGGCAGATGGACAGACAGCTATGAGTTAAAGAGAGTCTGGTTTGCTTAGTGGGAGAAGGCTATTAACAAGTAGGTCTAAGCCCTTGGGCTGCCCACTGGTGTCTACTCTGTGCCAGCCTAGGGTAGGTCTTTGAATTTCACCATGATTAATATCCTTCCTTGTCTCCTCTCTCCCTCTAGTGAGTTTAGTGTAGATATTCTTTTTTTGTTTGTTTGTTTTGTTTTGTTTTTTGAGACAGGGTTTCTCTGTGTAGCCCTGGCTGTCCTGGAACTCACTCTGTAGACCAGGATGGCCTCGAACTCAGAAATCTGCCTGCCTCTGCCTCCCAAGTGCTGGGATTAAAGGCGTGTACCACCACTGCCTGGCAAGTGTTGATATTCTTAATTTGTGATAACTGGTCAGTCCAAACTTCCTTACTATACCAAGGGTCAAATCCAGGGGTTTACATAAGCCAGGGCTCCACCCCGAAGCCATGTCCCCAGCCTCTTACTGGGGGATTCTAGGCAGGGGTTCTACCACTGAGCCATGCCTCTAGCCCCTCACTGGAGGATTCTAGGCAGGGGCTCTACCACTGAGCCAC